GAGACGGTGGCAGGAGGCGCGTGCTGCGGCCGAAAGCTTCTGAAGGAATGCAGGATCACCCCTGATGTCATTGCACACCTCCTCAATCCTTCAGAAGCTTTCGGTTGCAGCACGCACCTTCCGCCACCGTCTGCAGCACTGTAACGACATGGAGGCCGCCAAGTCCATAGTGGCAGATTCTGAAAGTATGGCTTTTCAAGCTGTCTAACGCTTGTCGCCTGCAATGCAACCATTACTACAATGGTCACGGTAGCCGATCAGGGGAAAATTGGATGATCTTTGACGTCACACAATTGGAACTTATAGATAACAGGTAAAAATCCGTAGCAATGGGATACTAGACTCTAAAAACTTTTTCGAAACATGTTTAGAAGCTAAACATTACGTGTCTTATTCTTAGACACCTATGTTCAATCCGCGATAAACGCTATCCATCAATGCTCTGTAGGGATCCACCTCAAGCGCGAGCCTTGGGTAAGGCTGAACAGCCTCCGCACAGGGTGGGGAAAGACCCGCTCCTTCCTAAACCGGATCGGTGCTTGTGACGATGACACCTGCCCTTGTGGGTTACCACAGACCATAGAACACATCATGCAAGCCTGCCCAATCTTCAAGGCCCCTCACGGTCCCACCGGCCTGATTGAGCTAGAGGAAGATACAGCCAAGTGGCTGCCGCGAAGAATTGGTAATTCCCGTGCGATTTAGCTATGGAAGCATCATACGAACGACGACGAATGCTTTAAACATGCTTAGTATGTAGACATGTTAGACACGTTTACAAACTGAGAGCAAGAAAGTGTTTAGAAAAGTGCTCAATTGCTAAACAGTGTTTCTGCAGTGTACATGTCCCTCGCCTCGTGATTCCCACCCATGCCCTCATTGTCAAGTCCTTGCATTGTTCATTATTTTGCTGGTCCCAGAATGAACAGCCGATAGTCCTATTTTTACCTCACTGACTGACTGACTGTCACTTGTGAATTACACTTGCATAAGTCTCACTCACGCCCGCAACAGACTGTGACTATACGATGACTACGTAGACACCTTAAACCAAATTTGATCTAGGATCAGCTTTATTAAGCTCGTTTAATACTGTTTCTTCACGCCTACAACTCAAACTTGGAAGAGGAAGTGACATTAGACCAATTCCTTAAAAATTGTATCAAGTGACTTTGTTCCAACATCAAATGTCATTCTGAAATAGATCCTCGTTCTACCAAGGTCTCAGATCCATGTACATCCAAGGTATCAGATCCATATACATTGTTTGTTGTTGACATTCATGTTATATGGATATAGTGCCGCCAAAAATTGTTTGGCATCTATATTGTATTGGGCCAGGTTTTTATATAGTAAAGAAGCCAGATGTAACGAAATCTCTGAATTACCGATACAAAATATGTGCATTTCGTTGTTTTTTTTTTTCAGTTGAATGGGCACAATGGTAATAACCAACCTGTGAATGTGACGTTCCCCGTGGTACTGATGGCAAGATTCCTCCGCATACTTCCACTCACATGGACTAGCACAGATCATTATTATCTGAGATTTGAAGTGCTCGGATGTCGAGGTAATGTGGGCCAATTTAAAAAGGCTAAATGACGTCACATGTAGAAAGGCGATGATACCACTTGTCATTTGGTGCAAATGTTGCAAATAAATGGGTTAGATTTAAAGGTCTTGGGAAATTCTAACACAGTAATAACCAATTGCGAGCACTGACTTGCGATTCATGTTTTGATGAGCAGTTAAAGAACCCGGATGAAGTTGTATTAATACAATTCATATCTATAGTTATGTTGAACTCATTCAGTGTAACATTGATGCAGATGCAGGCCGAACGATCATGCTGGTATTTGACTGTTTTCTTTAAGTTATTTCAGGTTGTCTACACTGTAAAAAGGTACGGTGTGAATATTTAACACCAGTGGTCCTACAAAGATACCATCGGTGTTAAATCTAACACCGTTGCTTTTGCATAGTGTCGGTTGCTTTGATCCTCATAAACCTGTGTCAGTATGATACTATTCAGGTCATAGAAGTTGGAGGGTTGGGAGTTGGGATGATGGTGTTGTCGGCTGATATCACTTGCTGGGTGTGTTTATTCGTTTCTTTTCTGATTGATAACTCGTGTTGGTCCAGCTCTGTTGCATTCTGACAATGCCCAGTACAAATCATATATGAAACGATGGGTTTGGATCACAAATTGGATAATGACCTTCATATGGCAAATTGAGTGGGGGATCTAAGTTGAGTTGCCTGGATGTAGACAAAGGAATTATCATTACAATGTTTTTACATGATGAGAATAAATATATTTAATTGAATTGAAATTAAATTGTCAAACAACAATTATCAATGGAAGGAGGAATACGTGTTGATTGGTGATTTGAGCCATAAAATGGCACCTCAAATAGTGAAAGAATTAGTTACAGGACTGATATATAATTGCACAAGCATCTTGTGCTTGTTTTTGCGTTCAAATCATAGATTAGCTTATAGAAGCTGGTCGTATCACTCACAAACATTCTGTCAAGAAGTGAGCCTCATGAAAGAGTGTGAAACTTACAAGACTTATTGTTATCGAGAGTTAGACCTACGTTTAATTGTTGTTCAAAATCGGAACACACAAGTCATTCAATAACTAATTCTGAAAGAAAACTACTTCTCGATCTCAACAGTCACTAGCGGCATGATTCGATTGGTGGGCGGTGAGGACAAATGGAGCGGTCAAGTGGAAATCTACCGCCATGATGATTGGGGTGCAGTCTGTGATAGCGGTTGGGATATGAAGGACGCCACCACCGTTTGTCATCAGCTCGGCTTCATCGAGGCTCTGGAGGCTAAAACAGGGTTGTCCAGCCGAGAGAGTGACCGGCCGATCGTGATGAATCGAGTCGCCTGTACTGGAACTGAACGACGGCTGGCTGACTGTCCGTTTGTCTGTACCGGCTCTCAGCAATGCAGCAGCTCAACTGTAGCAGGAGTCGTTTGTAAACCAAGACCTGGTAAGAAATACTCCGCCCTCTTTAGTTTCCGTGACATGTCATTCACATCCGACTTTGTGTCTTAAACCTTAGCTTATTACACAAGTGAATTTTGTGTTATCAAATCATCTCCATGTATTTATGATAATTCAGCGTTCTCTGATGATAACAGTCACTTAAGGAGGTACTCAACCCCAAAACACTTCAAACAAAATCCCTTAAGTTAAGTACAGGAAAAATATACCGATGGACTAAATGATAAAAATCTGAAATGATTATTGTTATCTCTTACACCCACTAAATAGGCATTCAAAAATAGGAATTCAAAACCTTACTTGTGCCTTCCTATAATGATTATTTGGACCATAGATTCTTATAAGGTTGAGTTCCCCTTGCTCTTTAACATATTATATATTTTGTTCTATTAATACATTTTCAACTGGTATGTTTTATTCCAACCAAAACTTTCCCTTTTAACTTTTCGGAAGTCTGAAATCCTATGAAAAAAAAAGTTTTACTTTTGGCGCAAACGGATCCACTTTGCGAGCAGACTGGCTCCCGGTCCGTACATTATCGATACTAATAAGCCTCTGTACTAATGCCTCTGCATTTTCCTATGGAGCCAGTGGGGACCCACGGTCCACTATTAAAGAACCATAGGAAAGCACACATATAAACAAAGTGTGACGTCATTAGTACAGATGCTTATTATGGGACGGGGACCAGCCTACCCGCGAGGATAGAATTATTGTCTGGAAGCAAATAGTTCGAAACTGTAAAGTAATAATTATTCAACAACTAAACGGGCTAATATTTCGCTCAATGTTTCATTCAAAAGTGAATAACCTTCGTATTGCTATAGAAACATAGCAATAACTTAGAACATGAATCTGTTTTTCTAGATAAAACTCATAAATAGCACGAGGAACGAATCTTTAATATAGGCCCTTTTGATGTCCTGGGTAGGCCTATGGGTTCTTTGGGGCACTGTCACTGACAGACAGGTAATTTGATTCTGATCGCTACGTGACATATTGTTATCAGCCTGTATTTCCAGCTGATGAGGGGATTGGGAGGTCTACTAACCATGAGGGCGGGCTACCTATCCGTCCCTTTTCTATTATACCACTCCACAGTGTAGGCGTCAGACTGTAACTCGTCTTGTTTTCTAAATTGAGATGATGTCTTTATTGTGAAATGATCAGATGAGCTTCGGTTGGTCGGCGGATCTCGCACTAGCGGCCGAGTGGAGATATACCGTGGCGGCAGCTGGGGCACCATCTGTGATTCCAATTGGAACGAGACGGATGCGGGGATCGTCTGCCGCCAGCTTGGTTTTTCAGGCGCACTGGAGGCCAAGTCCGCTGCCCACTTCGGGCAGGGTAGCGGACCCGTCCATATGGACGGCGTGGCGTGCGAAGGATCCGAAGAGAAAATTACCGACTGCCCTTCCTATTGCTGGGAGGAAACAAATTGTAGCCACTCTCACGATGCTGGAGTGATCTGTAGTGACGGTAAGCGAACAATGAGGGCAGTGTAACACAACCTATACCACCTTGTCAAGGATTCAATATAATCATCATAGAACTCCGCGTGTTCTTATTATTAGAAAGATGGATTCTGTTCTAGCGTGATGCAAGAACTAACACTCCATCCAATTTGATAGTAAAATTTATGATTGTGCATTCATTCAAATGATCAAAATATGAAGTAGCACAAATGTGTGTTTAAGTTATTGGTGGCCTAGCAATAATCGGGTGATGCCAAATCAATCTTTGTATGGGTTTCATGAGAAAGTTCCGATTCTCAGTTTAATTTACGCCTGCGCATCTGGAAATCGTTGCAAGATAATTTTAAATGACTTCTGTGCTTAGACCGCCTTATGTTTATAGATCAAGGTTCCCGTTTAGATTTTATCTAGAATTTTTTTCATTGAACATTGTTTTGCTTTTCTAGTTTTCTTCAACAACCTAAGATGCAAACTGTTTGTTCTTCGCTGTTGTATTACTGCAGGAAACACCGTAACAACCAACAAGTGACGAAAGCTAAACCGCTCCAGCAACCAGGAAGGATAGGAGACCACACATCATCATACACACTCATCTCCTTGTAAATGGACAATATTTGTTCCATGGTATTTCGGACCATCAAAGCGCCCCTCGTGAACTGCTGGTCGACTTCTTCTAAAGTCACGCGACTGGTCTGGGCCTATAACCCGTGCATTCTGTAAAGCCAATATATGGAGAGTGGTACCTCGCTTCTCTTGGCATTGTAGTATATTACTGACTGGGTAATCTACGGCACCAGTCTATGTTAACAGTGCATTTCGGTTAGATGTAGTTTTGAATGAGAGTTCTTCTTGTCAATGTATGTTTTTTTGTGCAGCATTATGCAATACACATAAGATGGCATGCAACAATCAAGGGGGCTTTATTTGTTTAACATACACAATGATAATAAGAAAACACCACAAGACCACCCCCCCCCCCCAAAAAAAAAAAAAAAACCCAAATATGCGAACAGGATTTGAATCGATAATCATTATATTATTGGACTCCATCAATTTGGATAGTCGATTCATATAAATACATTCAAAAAAATTTGGAGAACGAAAAGATAAAGTTCAGTTGATAAGCAGTGAGGGTAAAAATGTTGGACTCTCTTTTACTCTGATACACCGATAAACTGTAGTTATGTTATTTCAGGAAAGTTAACAATGTTGCTTATAATGCGTAGAATAGGCCTACTTGAAGGTGAACAAACTTTGTCAAATACGTTGAATTAAAACAATAAATAATTTTGTTTGATTTGTTTCACGCATAATATTCGGCAGTAATATTATTTAAAAATAAACGTGCGTGTTTCGCTTGGGATAACACTTAAATTGTTCCTATAAATGTACATATAGCTACACACAAGAAAGCATTTGAGACCTATATCATTATCAAACATAATAATTTTGCATTTGAGCCGCGTATAATGTTAGCCATTAGAATAAACCCTGAATTTTATCTGGGATAATACTTATTAGATTTCTCATATATTTAAATCAGCACACAAGAAAGCACTTAATGTAGTAATTTGTAGAACTACATGATTATCATGCTGCAAAAATAAAAAGGACAAGAAAAACAATTTTATCTTGAAACTCAAAATGTGGTCCTCGTAATAAAGGGTTCATGAGATATTTTGTTTTCTTAGGCACATATTTTGTGTAACTTTCTACTCCTCTTCAATGTATTGAAACTACTTGTACGATCCATTTTTTGTGAATTTTTATTGAAAAGTGCACGTTAAACATTTATGATTGTCCATGCTTTTCCGGACAACCGAGGGTGTTGTTTCACTTTGATGCTAATTTAGGAAGACACTGTTCAGTTAAGGCGTTTCCTGCTCAAATCGTGAACTAAAAAATGTGCTCAATAAAAATATGTTTGAGAAACGTTTACTTGCTTTAATGCCATGTAGTTGTACTGACACAAAAACGTTTCGACAAAGAAAAGAACAATTTCGAAGCAAATCGTGATAAATTCTGACAACTGTTGATGCTGACATAGCTGTAACTGGACTAACTGGAGGTTTTTGCTTGAATTAACATCACACTTTTGCTCATGAATATGGAAATTCGCATGAGCATAAAAAACAAAATGGTACCAAAATAGCCTTAAAAATCGATAATTGAAAATAAGGTTAAATGGGACTCAAATGTGCATTTTCAAGGATTGCATTAAAGCAACCCCCTGGTACAGACAAAATACGAGCACGCTAACAACTATCACGACGGCCCCTTTCAATGGCGAGGCATTGTGCTAGCTATTGTTCAGATAATCCGGCACGAGGCATGCAGTTGTTTTGTGCAATAGCTTGCGTAATGGTTTCTCCATTGAAGGGGGCCTCGAGAGTGTATACGGTGATCAGGTGCGCCAGGATTCGTCCAAATAAATCAGCAGGATAAACTTTGCACAAAATCGGGCAGAGGGTTGCCTAACGGCGCATTTGAAAGAACTTCTCAGTCTTTCTCGGATTTCATCATAAACCATACTTAGCCTCACTGCCATATCCATCAACATGTTTGTCAGCACAGGAGCGGCGATTTCTTGTCAAACTAGGAGTAGGGGAGGGGGAGGCGGGGGGGGGGGGGAGGGGGACAATCTAAAAGACATTCCAGGTTGCAATTTTGAGTGGTTGCGAGGATTCCGTCATCGTAGGTCAAGACGTTCCGAGGTCATACCATTAGAATCAGCTTAGCAATTCGTAGCAAGCGGTTTTTTAACTAACATGAATGTTAGTTATATGCTCGTCATACATGAGGGTAAATATGAGCCGAAAGCCAGTGAGAAAACCTTTCCGTCACAACTGCAAGAAATAATGTTTTGGGGTCTGCTCATAAGTCAGACGCCTCATAGGTCTGACGCCTCATAGCTCCGACAAAATCGCATCTCCCAACCAAATAAAGGCCCATGAGTCCGACGCCTCCATGCTCCGACGCCTCGTACCCCTTGTTTTTCCGACGTCGGACTTAAGAGGCGTCAGACTTATGATACGATTCCAATGTTTAACCGGGACTTGTTTTCGGCTCCGCCTTTACGTGGGCAATTTGGTGCATTGGTACTCCACAAAGCTATGTCGATCACTACCAGATGTTTAATATATTGCCCAGAAAATGTCAAAGGTTAAGTCTGTTTTGGATGAACGTCTTGAACATGCATGTTCGTTACAGGATCGTCTTACATGAGGGTAACTATGATCCAGTGTCAAACCACACGCGTCACTTCCAATGTTCACCCATGTTGGCCTTGCCATAGTTGGTCCCACCCAGTTCTCGGTAGTAGAGTCTTGCGAACCGAGCGCTTTCTATATCGACTCTTCAGCAACTTTGACCCAAGGTGTCGACCAGTACGAGCCCACCACTACCTGCTCTCTCACCCTGGTATTGGATCATTTGCAAGTTTTGGAACACGTACGTATACTGCAAATGAGGAATACTCTATACATACAGTGTTTGTTGAAAAAATTATACAAAATGATAAAAAAAACAGAAAACAGGAGTGGAATCGATAACCAATTATTATATTATTGAACTCCCATCCATTTGGATATTTTTCAAAGTCAGCTACTCGCAGTATAATGAATCCACTGATATAAACGCATTCAAATGAAATCCGGAAACGAAAAGTCGGAGAACGAAAAGTCACATACGTGTGGCTAATTCTGAGTTAACGAGCACAAGGGGCTGGCACAGGCCTCGAACAGGGGAAGTTGCCTATACCCCCCCCCCTTCCTTAGTTACGCCACTACACAGTCCGCACAGCCCAATAACGGATGCTTGTTGGACTGTCAATTTTAATCTCATGGCACATGAATACGAATCATAATAACAATTTATGAAATGTTTTGGCATATTTATTTATTTATTTATTATTATTTTGATGTAATTGGTGTAATAAGACGCAGTTTGGGTTCAGGTGTCTATTTATTGGGTCTACACGATACATATTACTGCATTGCAGTGGCAGATTGAGACAACTCACAGGAAGGGGGGGGGGGGTGCGGACCCGACGAGGCACAATGTCACTGCCAGATGTTTTATGTATTGCCAAGAACATTTCAAGTTAAAGTCTGTTTTGGATGAACGTCTTGAACATGTCATTTGCAGGCTCGTCATACATGAGGGTAACTATGAACCAGCGCCAAAACACATGCGTCACAAGGAAATGAATGTTTAACCCGGAACTTGTTTTGGCTCCGCCCCTGGTGCCTTGATCTGCACAGCAATGTCACTGCCAGATGTTTGATTTGTTGCCAAGTTCAATATCGTGGTCTGGTTATTTACAGATCGACAGCGCGCATATGTTACACTTATCCACACCAACGATGTTGTTAGATTCATTTAAATATATCTCTCAACAAATAAGAGATGTCTTGAAAGCAGCCTTGACATATCTCAAGTCGAAATCGATCGACGTTCGCGGGATGTTTACGATAATTGAAAATAAGGTTAAATGGGACACAAATGAGCATTTTCAAGGATTGCATTAAAGCAACCCCCTGGTACAGACAAAAATCCGAGCACGCTAACAACTATCACGACGGCCCCTTTCAATGGCGAGGCATTGTGCTATAGCTATTGTTCAGATAATCCGACACGAGGCACGCCGTTGTTTTGTGCAATATCATGCGTAATGGTTTCTCCATTGAAGGGGGCCTCGAGAGTGTATACGGTGATCAGGTGCGCCAGGATTCGTCCAAATAAATCAGCAGGATAAACTTTGCACAAAATCGGGCAGAGGGTTGCCTAACGGCGCATTTGAAAGAACTTCTCAGACTTTTTCGGATTTCATCAAAAACTCTACTTAGCGTCACTGCCATATCCATCAACATGTTTGTCAGCGCAGGAGCGGCGATTTCTTGTCAAACTGGGAGAAGGGGAGGGGGAGGCGGGGGGGGCAGGAGGACAATCAGAAAGACATTCCAGGTCGCAATTTTGAGTGGTTGAGAGGATTTCCGTCATCGTAGGTCAAGACGTTTCGAGGTCATACCATATTAGAATCAGCTAAGCAATACGTAGCAAGCCTTTTTTTTTTACACGGTGGGTCGCTGGCCCGCTGGCCCAAAGCGCAACCCGGTAGGCCGACCAGGAGTGGATGGAGTAATAGTGGTATGGTTTTATACTTCCGAGGTAGCCTTCTCCTAGGTGGGAAGCCAACCAAGGCTGACGAGCCCCACCTGCACGGGTTTGGAATAAGAGTTTTCCGTCTATTAGGAGGGTTGCCTTAAACCTGCCTTCCAAACATTAATGCAGTGTCACTGCCAAATTAATGTTTGATATATTGTCCCGACAATTTCAAAGATAAGTCTTTTGGATGAACGTCTTCAACATGAATGTTAGTTACAGGCTCGTCATACATGAGGGTAAACAGAGCCAGAAAGCCAGTGAGAAAACATGTCCGTCACAACTGAAGGAAATGATGTTTTGGGGTCCGCTCATAAGTCCGACGCCTCATAGGTCCGACGCCCCATATCTCCGACAAAATCGCATCCCCCAACCAAATAAAGGTCCTTAAGTCCGACGCCTCATAAGTCCGACGCCTCATAGCTCCGACGCCTCGTACGCTTCGTTTTTCCGACGTCGGACCTATGAGGCGTCGGAATTATGATACGGCCCCGATGTTTTAACCAGGACTTGTTTTCGGCTCCGCCTCCCTTTACGTGAGCAATTTGGTACATTGGTACTCCACACAACTATGTCACTACCAGATTTTGATATATTGCCCAGACAATCCCAGAGGTTAAGTCTGTTTTGGATGAACGTCTTGAACATGCATGTTCGTTACAGGATCGTCATACATGAGGGTTACTATGATCCAGTGTCAAACCACACGCGTCACTTCCAATGTTCACCCATGTTGGCCTTGCCATAGTTGGTCCCACCCAGTTCTCGGTAGTAGAGTCTTGCGAAGCGGGCGCTTTCTATATCGAGTCTTCGGCAACTTCGTCCCCAGGGTGTCGACCAGTACGAGCCCACCGCCACCTGGTCTCTCATTCTGGTATTGGATCATTTGCATGTGCAAAGTTTTTGAACACGTATACTGCAAATGAGGAATACTCTATACATACAGTGGCTTTATTTGTTTAAAAAATTATACAAAATGATAAAAAAAATATTTAAAAAACACGGAAAACAGGAATGGAATCGATAATCAGTTATATTATTGAGCTCCCATCCATTTGGATATTTTTCAAAGACAGCAACTCGCAGTATAATGAATCCACTGATATAAACGCATTCAAATGAAATCCGGCAACTAAAGGTCGGAGAACGAAAAGTCACATAAGTGTGGATAATTCTGAGTTGAGGAGCACAAGGGGCTGGCACAGGCCTCGAACAGGGGAAGCTGCCCCCATGTCTTCCCCCCCCCCCTTCCTTAGTTACGCCACTACACAGTCCGCACAGCCCAATAACGGATGCTTGTTGGACTGTCAATTTTAATCTCATGGCACATGAATACGAATCATAATGACAATTTATTACATAATTTGGCATATGTATTTATTATTATTTTGATGTAATTGGTGAAATAAGACGCATTTTGGGTTCAGGTGTCTATTTATTGGGTCTACACAATACATATTACTGCATTGCAGTGGCAGATCGAGACAACTCGAAGGAAGGGGGGGGGGGGTTGCGGACCCGACGAGGCCCAATATCACTGCCAGATGTTTGATGTATTGCCAGGAGCATTTCAAGTTAAAGTCTGTTTGGGATTCTCATCTTGAACATGTCAGTTGCAAGCTCGTCATACGTAAGGGTAACTATAAGCCAGCGCCAAAACACATCCGCTAAAAGGAAATGAATGTTTAACCCAGAACTTGTTTTCGGCTCCGCCCTTGGTGCATTGATCTGCACAGCAATGTCACTGCCAGATGTTTGATCTGTTGCCAAGTTCAATATCGTGGTCTGGTTATTACCGATTGACGGCGCGCCTATGTGACACTTATCCACACCAACGATGTTGTTAAATTCATTTAGATATATCTCTCAAAAAAATAAGAAATGTCTTGAAATCCGTCTTGAGATATCTCGAGTCGAAATCGATCAACGTTCTCGGGATGTTTAAAAATAAAGTTAAATATGGGGGGGGGGTGTAAATACATTCCTAACACCCACCCACCCCCACGTATGCTATCACGCCCTTGCACCCCAGGTCCCTGTACGATACAGATTGTTGGCTTCCTATCAACACAAACAGACCAGGAAACAACTCTCGGAGGATTTATTGCATCGAAACCAGACGGATATCTGCTCAGACATTTAACACCACCAATAACCCCGAAACACCCTTATCTGGAAGCCCAGCATCATGATATATAAACCGATCTACCAACCTCCGTCGGTTCATTCTCGACTCCAGCTGATCTCTCCTTAAGACGTTTGTGTTACTTTCTCTCATCGTATTCCCAAACAATGTCTTACTCTGCATCAAATCTGCTGGTGTTGGCGGCCACGCTGATCACCATCACTGCGCCCTCACGTAAGTATGAAACTGAATCAACTGTGGTTAAATTATTTTGCAAGCCACTCGCGAAACCTGTAAGCACGCAACTGGTTTTTACAGCTGAAACTTTGAATTTCTAAGATTTGCAGGTTGCAAACAACTTAGCACAAATCCTGTGTACACGTACTTTGTATATGAATCATGTGTAACTGGAATGACAAATAGCGCTGCAATGGCTCGATTTTCTGAAGATCGAAATTCCTTCGTGGTATGATTTCATGAAAACAGCGATAGTTCAAGCTGTATGGAAGAACTTTTGGAAAAATCTTTCCACAACTTTTACCGGTATTATTTCGCTACAGAAATGCGTTCCAGTTCCGCATTACCCTTTAATTTGTCAAGAATGTCTATTATAGCCTAATGCTTCGTATGTACTATTTAAAAGCAAAACATGATAGTTATTCTCGCAATGTTAGCGATGGATTTGGCGCGTTTTTATCAAGTGTTATTGTTTATGTAAATTGTAGAGCATCATTTTGAGTTGACGTCAAAGTCCCCGCATATCATTTTCAAGTGGCTACTTTGATTCATATCACACGTGCGTTTGCAGTTGTTATTGATGACATTACTGCACTGGGCATTCAGCGTATACATGCGTGAGGCATTGGCATTGGCGCTTGGCATGGGTATGTATAGCGCCGCACTATATATATAGCACTAAATATTAACAATGTCATCCAGGGTCTGACCTGGCCTTGAACATTTCTACAGTGAGTAACTTGAATGTCTGGCTTCAATATTCCAACAGTGTACCTAAGCGATTTTACTTGGATATATGTGTTCAGTTCTTTCCGAGAAACTACCAAAAAACAGAAGGCTCAAACTATTGTTACGTTATAAGATATAAATTATAAACGTCTCTTTTAGATAAAGAATTTGACAAAAGTTATGGTGTGCATCTTTTATTAATAGTCTTTTTTTAATCATGCCGTCTTCGCTTTTCAAAGAATTACATGTAGATTGTTTTTCTACTGACGAATTTCAAAACCCATTTTGTTTATTTTAATTTAAAAACAATACTTTTTTATACTTTTTTCTTCCAAATTTGAGATTCCGCATTCCTCTGAAAGGCAAGCTTTTATTTGCCCACAAACAAATCCCTGTGAATGTACTGATTCCCGTCCTAATGGATCTGTTTAGCCTTCGAGAACTGAATTATTAATTGTCGGCCGAAACCAATTCAAACTTTAAAAGTAACTACTGCATATCGATCGCTTTTTCATTCAAAGTAAAAACCTTCTTTATTTCGACAAAAATAGCAACTTAAATTTATAACAAGAAATCTATTTTGGGGGTTGAAAATTGAAAATAACTGGCACAATACATCTTGAAACATTTTCGTCATGTTACTTACAATTTCGTATTTTTGATTGGCCACATTTTAATTTGCATGTTGATGCATCATCAGTTTTACTGCTGTATCCGTACATACAATATGAACGAACGCACTGGACTCGATCGGCGCTATCAGAATGCCCAAACTATCTTAGCCTGAAAACACGAGATGATTCTGTGCCTATCATTTTGTTGGTTATGATGATTCCAGTTACAAAGGCTGAAAATTAGCAAATCGCAATTTTGACGTTGTATTTTAGAATTATGCTCGGCCCATCCTGTAGTGCAAGATGTGACGTCACAAGACCAGTCAAGGAGCTCAAGCATATCAGGTAAATAACACTTGAAACTGCTGATGTTTAATTGTAAAATGTAATGTATTTTTGGCACCCCTGTGTTTGCCGTGTGGCGAACCGATGGTGGGTAGGGGGGGGGGGGAGGTCCACACCTCATATTTCTTTAAATGAAGGGATACCTGCATTGATATTTGTTAACTGTGTGTGATAAATGGCAGGTTGTATCAAACTTTCTAAAAACATTCAAACGATCTCTACAAATAATTATGAAGCTATTCCATGTCATTATGCAGTCTGGATTTTCTTAATTTGATGGTCAAAAAAAGGAATGGAATAAGGGATATAGGCCCGATTGCATTAAATCACATAAAATCTAATTACAAACAAAACAAGGCAAGCCGGATTTAGATCATTTGGCCGGATTTAGACAATTTTATGCGTTGCGATGTAATACTAGTGCAATATATTTTTTGGCAAAGGTGAGACTTAAGCAAGTCTTATTTACGCGTGACAGTCGGTTGGTCGGTCGGTCGGTCGGGAGGTCGGTCGGTCGGTCGGTCGGTCGGTCGGTCGGGAGGTCGGTCGGAAGGACGGTCAGTCAGTCAGTCAGTCAGTCAGTCAGTCAGTCTGGTGCAAAGAGGACTATAGGCTGGCCCCTCAGGGACCAGCACCAGCACAAATTCAACCAAGTGTGTATTTGCCTGCAATCCGGCCAATGTAATGGAAAGTTTGAATGCAATCCCTGAAAATGCACCTTTGTGTCCCGTTTAACTTTATCTTCAATCTTCATAGTTTATTGCTATTTGCAAGGTTTTTTCTAATGCTATGCGCATTTCCACAATAAGCGAAACTGTGATGCCATTCAAGGCAGAAACTTGGATGTTAAAAATGCTTCAGCAAGAAAAAATGCCAGATTGTTTTTGTTTTTTTTTGGCTGTAATAAATATTTCAAATATTAATTCAATGAGTAAAATTTGTTGGTTCGTAATCTTTACGGAACACCCTAAGTGCACTTTACACACGTTTTAAACTAAAACTTTTGTTTAATGGTTTTCTTGCGGTTCAGAGAAAGTTGCTCAAAATGTATGTGTAAATTACATGCAAAGGTCCCTTAAAAAATCGCCCAAACATTTTTCATTGTCAAGCAAAATAGGAATGAAAGAAACGATATCTTGTATCCGATATATTTTGTTTCATTTCAGGCCTTTCATGTACGAGTTCTCCACTGGGGATGGCCAGTGGGGCCATCCCTGATTCCAGCCTGACGGCGTCAGGCTCACACGGCTCATATCCCCCAAGCAATGCCCGACTGAATGGTAAGTCTCATTGATTGCTACTCTCATTGCAATAGTCCGCAACTGTTGCTTACTTTGTGTATGTTGCCTTATTGTGAGTTAAGACATAGGAATTGTATAAGTCCGACTCTAAAAACAACTTCGAAACTTTTAAAAAATACTAATTAACGATGCATTGTGATTGTTTTAATTATGGATTCCATTCTTGGTCAATATGACCAGCCACTTTCTTTCTTAAGATTTTAGACTCATTTGCTTTTCATGCCATTGTTCGTTTCCAATAATAACACCTCTCAATTTTAAAGATGAATGTTTAAACGTTAAACCTAACTAGTTGAAACTTCAGCTAATAGTTTTCGCAAAAACATAGAAAACCATGCACTGCCTTGTGACCACGAAACACGATTTCGCCCATGGTACTCTGTATGAAAAAAGCAATTGACTGATCGTTGGAAATCACCACCATTTCTAGATTTCTTCGCAATGGCAGCAAGCCAGACGAAATAACATCACGGAGTGGGATAGTACCCTACGATCTTTAATCCAAAACAAAAATAATAATTCGGTTGGCTACTTCTGAGATACATGCAAATGATCCTACATGTCTTTAACCCATAAATGTAAGTTTCTAAACATAAAAAGAGGTCAGCCAAAACAACAAAAAAAAAACTCTTGGAATTCCGGATAATCTCCACAAGTCAGCTTACTTTTCTCAGTATTTTATTTGAACTATTGCTACAACGAAAAAGTTACGAAAATTGTGATTACAAACGACCTTCAAATGACAATAATACAAATTTGGTATTTGCAGTTGCGTCAGTACACAGGTCATGCATCCTGTTGCAAGTCATTTCTGTTCGGGATGAGTAATCTTTGTTTATTCTGTGGGATCTCAATTGTGAATTGATACATGTTAAGTAATGACAAAATCTTTGAGTTCACAAACATTTAATTTAGAATAAACTTAAATTTCACATTGTGTCGTCACCTTCTTGGTTGTCTTCTTGGCAGCCGCATTGTTCATGCTCATATACAACAATTTGACTGTTCGTATTGATCAACTCATTCCACATAGTCCTCCGTCCCTGATGATGCATTCCCAGGCCCGTCTATGCATAATGTGCCACTGCGCGCCTAATAAGTTTGGCGTGTCTCTGCTTCGATGCGCATTCGCATTTTTGCGAAGACTGTACAGGAAACGCTTGACAAGTTCCTCCAATATCAGACGACGAAAATTTGCTGCAAGGACAGGAACACCCGATTATTTATCATATCGAAGTAAATGTTAGTTTGTATGTTTTCCTCAATGAAAAAAAGGGACAATCATGAGAACATTAGGCCAAAAAAAAAGTCTCCGGTTTCTGGTATGGAGCTTGCCCAAAAAGTGGTGCGGCGACGCGGCTTTTTTTTTTTTACCTGACTTTTTTGCTTCAAATGTCGGCTGATGACTGCAAATGGTGCCCGACTAAACTTAGTGCAAAATGTACGGGAGTCCAGAGAGTAAACATAAAGCTTATTCTCGATCATACCCCCATCTAAAACACGTTTAAACTGTGCTGCAGCAGGATTCCAGTCAAACCAGTGAGTTTGGCGGTTTTTGAGACATCTTTTATTGAATTTTTTTTTTTCATTTTGCCGTCGCGAATTGCTACGGCGACGCGCGCGCATACCAGAAACCGGAGACTTTTTTTTTGGCCTTACCTCAAATTCGTGCGACTGTCGTTCCTTTCTAAATTAAACGGTTGTGTATTTCGTCGGTTGTGGAGAATGAGCCTTTTCGGAGGTCCAACTGCGCATTCATAACCTGTGACAACGCGCATTATTTGTCTCAAATGGCCTTTGACATCATCGCGCCACTGACTTTACAAAAAGGCTGTTTGTGCATTGTGGGTACTGTCAAAGGGCGTTTGAGACAAATAATGTGCGTTGTCACAGGTTACGAATGCGCGCAGTTGGAACTCCGAAAAGGCTTATATTGTCTCACGTTCTGGGTATTAACCTCGTCATTCATGGAAAATCACGCCTCATCGCTAATTATGAAGCGTTAAAGAATCGTGTTGGCCTTGCGAGTAGCCACTGTCAAATCTTCATTAACATGTAACAACTGATACTTGGAGTCCCTCAGGATAAACAAAGAAACACTCTGTTGTTCAGAACAGGAATGACATCAAATCCAAGCCTGTGTATTCCAATACAAAATATGTATTCTTGTCATGATCACAGCTTTTGTAACTGTATTATTTTTCTTACGGAAACCTTGTAGTATTTGGTTCTATATTATTTTGATTGCCATGGTGTTTTGTTTTATTCCCCACAGGTACTGGTTGGTGGGCATGCCCAAATGGAAAACCCGAGGGTCAATGGATCCAGGTAGACCTCGGTCAGTACACGGCCATCACGGGGGTCATCGTACAGGGATATCCGGGAGGCTATCACATCCTAACCTTTGCTGTAAACTACAGTAATACGGGCGAATCCAATGATTGGCAGAAACTAACGGACAGAGGACAGACCGTACAGGTGAGCCTAGGATCCCGTCAAGATAGATTCTCTAGTTTTACATTCCATACGAACAGTGGATCACAGAAAGCCAATCCTATTCGGAAGCCGATCGTTCCAGGTTGAACAAGTGAATTTTGTTACATTGTAAAATAAACGCATTACATATTGGCGAAATAACGCAGTGCTTATTAATTAACGCAATACGATTGTAAAATAGCACAATACTTTTGAGAAATAAAGGAAAAAAATAAACTACTGCGTTAATTTGTAAAAGTTGCATAGCTTTAAATATCGCTAAACTGTTGCATTGTTATATGCTATGCAGTCAAGCATTGTTTCGCAAACGTTTAATTGCATTAATTTGAAATGGTATTGCGTTAGCTAACAAGCTCGATCGGATCTCGGAAGCTCAGTGCGGCCGGCCAACGAAGGCGTGTTCACCTTATTTTGAACTTTGACCCACACTGTAGGTCGGACGACCGTCAACATGGACACTTTTTTAATGTTTGACCAAGGCCAATATGTTGAAAGCGTTACTTTGTCATTTGAGCTTATTTGAAATTTGACATTATTTTGACCTTGACCCCATGATGACCTTTGACCCTAGTTTGTTTACGTGACATGTTGGGGTGTGGCTACTGATACTTTAGACAAAGTTTGGTTGAAATCGGTCAGGGCAATAGACATGTCGGGCAAACCTGAGTCGATTGGGCTCCCGTGTAATGGATTGATGTCAAATACATTTTTTTAAATTAAAAACAAACCTCATTTCCTTTGACTTTAGTTTGGGTCACAGTTCTGTTTTAGTCTCAAGCACCGACGACGATTTCATGTCAACATTGAGGGGGGAAAGCAGTATTTACATAAAATGGGTGTTGGAAGACCATTTAAGACCAATATCTTATAGCGCTATTACACGTACAGAATAATATTATAAAGATATGTAAATGGTAAAACAATATATATACACTGGGACAAATTATTGGGGGGGATTGCCATCGGCATACACCATCAAAATGAGTGACGATTGTTAATTTGTCAAAAGCCACTCTGAATTGGATCCTCGTTCACCCGAGGTATATACATGCACGCAATGGACGTTCATGTTCCAGGTAATAGCGCCATCAAAGTTGTTTAGTATCTCCCTTTATCGGCGCAGCTAGCTCTTCCAATAGCAAAGACGTCTGACGAATAACAAATATTTGAACTACCGGATGTTGTGTTGGTGGTCATATAGTAAATCGTTATTTTTTCAGTTGAATGGGCACAATGGTGATAGCCAACCTGTGAATGTGACGTTCCCCGTGGTACTGATGGCAAGATTCCTCCGCATACTTCCACTCACATGGAGTAACCATCCTTATTATTGTCTGAGGTTCGAAGTGCTCGGATGTCGAGGTAATAAATCCATCTAAATTATCTACGTCGCCGTCATGAATAGAAAGGCAATTATACCACTTGTTATTTTGTGTAAATGTTGGGAAATTGTTAGTTTTGGAAGGTCTAGGCTTCTTCCAACTCTGTAAGAACCAATTTCGAGCACTGACTTGAGTTTCATGTTTGGATGAACCGTGGTTAGAACCCGGGGGAAGGTGTATTAATACAAGTCATGTGTATAATTATTTTGAACTCATTCGTTGTGACAGTGACTCAGATGCAGGCCGAACGACCATTCCAGTATATTTGACTGTTTTCATTACGTTATTTCAGGTAGTCTACCCTGTAAAAAAGAAAAGGTACGGTGTGAATACTTAACACCGATGGTCCTACAAACATACCACCGGTGTTAAATCTAACACCGCTGTTTTTGTAGTGTCGGTTGCTTTGACCCTTATTAAACCTGTGTGCAGTAAACAGGTTATGAAAGTTGGAGGGTCGGGAGTTGGGATGATGGTGTTGTCGGCTGATATCACTTGCTGGGTGTGTTTATTTGTTTCTTTTCTGATTGATGACACGTGTTGGTCCAGCTCTGTTGCATTCTGACAATGCCCAGTGCAAATCATACGAAACGATGGGTTTGGATCACAGATTGGATAATAACCTTCATATTGCAAATTGAGTTGGGATCTGAGTTGAGTTCCCTGTATGTAAACAAAGACAAAGGAATCATCATTATTGTCAGACAACAGTCATCAATGGAAGGGGGAATACGTCTTGCCAGGCGATTTGAGCTATAAAACGGTACCTCTGATAGGGAAAGAAGTTAAAGGAATGATATATATGTGCACAAGCATTTTGTGCCTGTTTCTGCGTTCCAATCATAGATTACATTATAAGATAACATTATATAGAAGCTGGTCGTATCACTCACAAAAATTTGGTCAAAGGTCATGAATCTCATGAAAGAAATTGAAACTTACAAGACAATCATTATTATCAAGAGATTATGCCTACGTCTGATTGATGTTCAAAATCAGCAAACACTAGTCATTCCACTACTAATTCTGAAAGAAACTAATTCCCAATCTCAACAGTTCCCAGCGGCACCATTCGATTGGTTGGCGGTGATGACAAATGGAGCGGCCAAGTGGAAATCTACCGCCATGATGCTTGGGGTGCAGTCTGCGATAGCAGTTGGGATATGAAGGACGCCACCACCGTTTGCCATCAGCTCGGCTTCATCGAGGCTCTGGAGGCTAAAACGGGGTTGTCCAGCCGAGAGAGTGACCGGCCGATCGTGATGAATCGAGTCGCCTGTACTGGAACTGAACGACGGCTGGCTGACTGTCCGTTTGTCTGTACCGGCTCTCAGCAATGCAGCAGCTCAACTGTAGCAGGAGTCGTTTGTAAACCAAGACCTGGTAAGAAATACTCCGCCCTCTTTCCATGACATGTCGTTCACATCGATTTTTGTCTTAAACCTCAGCTTATTACACAAGTGAATTTTGTGTTATCAAATCATCTCCAGGTATTTATGATATTTCAGCGTTCTCTGATGATAAAAGTCACATAAGAAGGTACTCAACCCTGAAACACATTCTTCAAACAAAAGCACTTCCCTAATGAGTATAGGAAAAATATACAGATGAACTCAACGAAAAATCTCAAACAATTATTGTTATCTCTTACACCCACTAAATAGGCATTCAAAAATAGGAATTCAAAACCTTACTTGTGCCTCCCAATACTGATTATTTGGACCATTATTCTTGTAATGTTGATTTCGCCTTGCTCTTCAACATATTATTTTTTTTTCCTATTTATAAATTTACAACTTGAATGTTTTCTTCCAACCTAAAATTTTCCATTTTGGACGTCTCCAACCCTCTGAAGAAGAAAAAAATGCTTTGGGCACAACAGACCCACTTTGCGAACAGACTGGCTCCCGGTCCGTACATTATCGATACTAATGACGTTACACTTTGTTTACATGTGCACTTTCCTATGGAGCCAGTGGGGGCCCACGGTCCACTAAGAACCATAGGATGTCATGTAAACAAAGTGTGACGTACAGAGGCTTATTGTGGGGCGGGGACCAGCCTACCCGCGAGAATAAAAATATTGTCTGGAAGCAAATAATTCGAAACTGTAAAGTAATAATGATTCAACAACTAAACGGGCTGATTTTTCGCTCAATGTCTCATTCAAAAGTGAATAACTTTCGTATTGCTATAGAAAAAAAGCAATAACTTAGAAAATGAATCTGTTTTTCTGGAAAAAAAAACTCGTAAATAGCACGGGAAACGATTCTTGAATATAGGCCCACTTGATGTCCTCGGTAGGCCTATGGGTTCTTTGGGGCACTGTCACTGACAGACAGGTAATTTGATTCTGATCGCTACGTGACATATTTTTATCAGCCTGTATTTCCAGCTGAAGAGGGGATTGGGAGGTCTACTAACCATGAGGGCGGGCTACCTATCCGTCCCTTTTCCATTACACCACTCCACAACTCTTGTTTTCTAAATTGAGATGATGTCTTTATTGTGAAATGATCAGATGAGCTTCGGTTGGTCGGCGGATCTCGCACCAGCGGCCGAGTGGAGATATACCGTGGCGGCAGCTGGGGCACCATCTGTGATTCCAATTGGAACGAGACTGATGCGGGGATTGTCTGCCGCCAGCTCGGTTTCTCAGACGCACTGGAGGCCAAGTCCGCTGCCCACTTCGGGCAGGGTAGCGGACCCGTCCATATGGACGGCGTAGCGTGCGAAGGATCCGAAGAGAAAATTACCGACTGCCCTTCCTACTGCTGGGAGGAGACAAGTTGTAGCCATTCTCACGATGCTGGAGTGATCTGCAGTGACGGTAAGCATATAATGAGGGCAGTGCAACGAATCTTATACCACATCGTCAAGGATTCAAATCATCATAGAAATACTCCGCGTATTCCTATCATTAGAAAGATGGATTTGTTCTAGCGTCATGCAAGAACGAGTGCTCCATTCAATTTGATAGTAACAATTTTTATTGTGCAACCGTATACCTTGATTTAAATGATAAAAAGCTGAAATAGTACAATGTGTTGAAACTGTTAGTTGCCTAGCAATAATCGGTTGATACCTTAATCAATATTTGCAAGGGTTTCTTGCATGAAAGTATGTCCCGATTCTAAATTTCGCATATGTCTGCGAATCTGATGATCGTTCGGAGAGAATATTGTATTGACTTCGGTGTAAAGATGGTCTTATGATTGTATAGAGCCAGTTTCCTGTTAAGATTTTATTTAGAACACATTTTTTTTTAAAATGAATACTGTTTTGTTCTCAGTTTTCTTCAACAACCTAAATTGCAAACTTTTTGTTCTGCGCTTTTGTATTACTGCAGGAAACACCGTAACAACCAACAAGTGACGAAAGCTAAGGCGCTCAAGCAACCAGGAAGGATAGGACACCAACTATATTATTATACACAACTCATCTCCTTTTTTTAAAGGGACAATTAATATTTGTTTCATGGTATTTTTGGACCATTCAAAGCGCCCATCGTAATTGCTGGTCGAATTCTTCTATACTCACGCGACTGGTCTGGGCCTATAACCCGTGCATGCTGTAAAGCCAATATATGGAGAGTGGTACCTCGCTTCTCTTGGCATTGTAGTATATTACTGACTGGGTAATCTACGGCACCAGTCTGTGTTAACAGTGCATTTCGGTTAGATGTAGTTTTGAATGAGAGTTCTTCTTGTCAATGTATGTTTTTGTGCAGCATTATGTAATACACATAAGATGGCATGCAACAACATGGGGGCTTTATTTGTTCAATATACAAAATGATAATAAGAAAACACCACAAGACCAACCCCCCCCCCCCAAAAAAAAAAAAACACCAAATATGTGATCAGGAGTTGAATCGATAGTCATTATATTATTGGACTCCATCAATTTGGATAGTCGATTCATAAATGCATTCAAATAAATTTGGAGAAGGAAAAGATAAAGTTCAGTTGATAAGCAGTGAGGATAAAAATGTTGGACTCTCTTTTACTCTGATACACCGATAAACTGTAATTATGTTATTTCAGTAAAGTTAACAATGTTGCGTATAATGCGTAGAATAGGCCTACTTGAAGGTGAACAAACTTTGCCAAATACGTTGAATTAAAACAATAAATAATTTTGTTTGATAAGTTTCATGCATAATATTCGGCGGAATATTATTTAAAAATAAACGTGCGTGTTTCGCTTGGGTTAACACTTAAATTGTTCCTATAAATGTACATATAGCTGCACACAAGAAAGCACTTGAGACCTATATCATTATCAAACATAATATTTTTGCCCTTGAGCCACGTATAATGTTAGCCATTAGAATAAACCCTGAATTTTATCTGGGGATAATACTTTAGATTTCTCATATATTTAAATCAGCACACAAGAAAGCACTTATTGTAGCAATTTGTAGACCTACATGATTATCATGCTGCAAAAATAAAAAGGAAAAGAAAAACAATTTTATCTTGAAACTCAAAATGTGGTCCTCGTAATAAAATGTTCATGAGATGAATTTTTCTTAGGCACACATTTTGTGTAGCTTTCTACTCCTCTTCAATGTATGGAAACTACTTGTACGATCCCTTTTTGGTTAAATTTTATTGAAAAGTGCACTTTAAACATTTATGATTGTCCATACTTTTTCCGGACAACCGAGGGCTTTGTTTCACTGTGATGTTAATTTCGAAAGACACTGTTCAGTTAAGGAGTTTTCTGCTCAAATCGTGAACTCAAAAATGTGCTCATTAAAAACGTTTGTGACCGAGAAACGTTTACTTGCTTTAATGCCATGTAGTCGACAAAGAAAAGAACAATTTCGAAGCAAATCGTGATAAATTCTGACAACTGTTGATGCTGACATAGCTGTAACATGGAGGTTTCTGCTTGAATTAACATCACACTTTTGCTCATGAATATGGAAATTCGCATGAGCATAAAAAACAAAATGGTACCAAAATAGCCTGAAAAATCGCAAAACGATCATTCAAAATAAGGTTAAATGGGACACCAATGTGCATTTTCAAGGATTGCATTAAAGCAACCCCCTGGTACAGACAAAATCCGAGCACGCTAACAACTATCACGACGGCCCCTTTCAATGGTGAGGCATTGTGCTAGCTATTGTTCAGATAATCCGGCACGAGGCATGCAGTTGTTTTGTGCAATAGCTTGCGTAATGGTTTCTCCATTAAAGGGGGCCTCGAGAGTGTATACGGTGATCAGGTGCGCCAGGATTCGTCCAAATAAATCAGCAGGATAAACTTTGCACAAAATCGGGCAGAGGGTTGCCTAACGGCGCATTTGAAAGAACTTCTCAGTCTTTCTAAGATTTCATCAAAAACCATACTTAGCGTCACTGCCATATCCATCAACATGTTTGTCAGCGCAGAAGCGGCGATTTCTTGTCAAACTAGGAGTAGGGGAGAGGGAGGCGGGGGGGGGGCAGGAGGACAATCAGAAAGAAATTCCAGGTCGCAATTTTGAGTGGTTGAGAGGATTTCCGTCATCGTAGGTCAAGACGTTTCGAGGTCATACCATTAGAATCAGCTACTAAGCTATTCGTAGCAAGCGGGGTTTTTTTACACGGTGGGTCGCTGGCCCGCTGGCCCAACGCGCAACCCGGTAGGCCGACCAGGAGTGGATGGAGTAATAGTGGTATGGTTTTATACTTCCGAGGTAGCCTTCTCCTAGGCTGTTAATCAACCAAGGCTGACGAGCACCACCCGCACGGGTTTTGAATCAGAGTTTTCCGTCTATTAGGAGGGTTGCCTTACTGAAACCTGCCTTCCAAACATTACTGCAGTGTCACTGCCAAATTAATGATTGATATATTGTCCCGACAATTTCAAAGATTCAGGTGTCTATTTATTGGGTCTACACGATACATAGTACTGCATTGCAGTGGTAGATTGAGACAACTCACAGGAAGGGGGGAGGGGGGGGGGGTGCGGACCCGATGAGGCCCAATGTCGCTGCCAGATGTTCGATGTATCGCCAAGAACAGCTCTCACCCTGGTATTGGATCGTTTGCATGTGCAAAGTTTTTGAACACGTATACTTCAAATGAGGAATACTCTATACATACAGTGGCTTTATTTGTTGAAAAAATTATACAAAATGATATGAAACACGGAAAACAGGAGTGCAATCGATAAACAATTATATTAATGAACTCCCATTCATTTTGATATTTTTTCAAAGTCAGCTACTCGCAGTAGAATGAATCCACTGATATAAACGCATTCAAATGAAATCCGGAAACGAAAAGTCGGAGAACGAAAAGTCACATAAGTGTGGATAATTCTGAGTTAAGGAGCACAAGGGGCTGGCACAGGCTTTGAACAGGGGAAGTTGCCCCTATGCCCCCGCCCCCCTTCCTTAGTTACGCCACTACACAGTCCGCACAGCCCAATAACGGATGCTTGTTGGACTGTCAATTTTAATCTCCTGGCACATGAATACGAATCATAATGACAATTTATTACATAATTTGGAATATGTATTTATTATCATTTTGATGTAATTGGTGTAATAAGACGCAGTTTGGGTTCAGTTGTCTATTTATTGGGTCTACACGATACATCTTACTGCATAGCAGTGGCAGATCGAGACAACTCACAGTAAGGGGGGGGGGGGGTGCGGACCAGACGAGGCCCAATATCACTACCAGATGTTCGATGTATTGCCAAGAACATTTCAAGTTAAAGTCTGTCTGGGATTATCATCTTGATCATGTCAGTTGCAGGCTCGTCATACATTAGGGTAACTATGAGCCAGCGCCAAAACACATCAGCCAAAGGAAATGAATGTTTAACCCAGAACTTGTTTTCGGCTCCGCCCTTGGTGCCTTGATCTGCACAGCAATGTCACTGCCAGATGTTTGATGTGTTGCCAAGTTCAATGTCGTGGTCTGGGTATTACAGATCGACGGCGCGCATATGTGACACTTTAGTCACGATGTTGTTGAAGTTCATTTAGATATATCTCTCAACAAATAAGTAATGTCTTGAAATCCGTCTTGAGATATCTCGAGTCGAAATCGATTGACGTTCTCGGGATGTTTAAAAATAAAGGCAAATATGGGGGGGGGGGGTGTCAATACCTTCCTAACACCCAACCACCCCCACGTATGCTATCACACCCTAGCACCCCAGGTCCCTGTACGATACAGATTGTTGGCTTCCTATCAACACAAACAGACCCGGAAACAACTCTCGGAGGATTTATTGCATCGAAACCAGACGGATATCTGATCAGACACTTAACACCACCAATAACCCCGAAACACCCTTATCGGGAAGCTCAGCATCATGATATATAAACCGACCTACCAACCTCCGTCGGTTCACACTCGGCTCCAGCTGATCTCTCTTGAAGACGTTTGTATTACTTTCTCTCATCGTATTCGAAAACAATGTCTTCCTCTGCATCAAATCTGCTGGTGTTTGCGGCCACGCTGATCACCATCACTGCGCCCTCACGTAAGTGTGAAACTGAATCAACTGTGGTTAAATTATTTTGCAAACAACTCGTGAAACCTGTAAGCATGCAACTGATTTTTACAGCTGAAACTTTGAATTTCTAAGATTTGCAGGTTGCAAACATCCTAGCACAAATCTTGTGCACACGTACTTTGTTTATGAATCATGTATTACTGAAATGGCTCGATTTTCTGAAGATCGAAATTCCTTCGTGTGATGAATACATGAAAACCGCAATTTTTCAAGCTGTGTGGAAGTTTTAAACTTTTGCAAAATATCTTTCAAAAACTTTTACCGGTATTATTTCGCTACAGAAATGCGTTCCAGTTCGGCATTACCCTTTTATTTGTCAAGAATGTGTATTTAGCCTAATGCTTCGTATTTACTATTTACAAACAAAACGTGATAGTTATTCTCGCAATGTTAGTGATGGATTTTGCGCGTTTTTATCAAATGTTATTGTTTATGTAAATTGTAGAGCATCATTTTGAGTTGACGTCAAAGTCCCCGCATATCATTTTAAGTGGCTATTTGATTCATATCACACGTGCGTTTGCAGTTGTTATTGATGACATTACTGCCCTGGGCATTCAGCGCATGCGTGCGTGAGGCATTGGCATTGGCGCTTGGCATGGGTATGTATAGCGCCGCACTATATATAGCACTAAATATTAACAATGTCATCCAGGGTCTGACCTGGCCTTGAACATTCTACAGTGAGTAACTTGAATGTCTGGCTTCAATATTCCAACAGTGTACCCAAGCGATTTTACTTCGATATGTGTTCAGTGCTTTCTGAGAGAGTACCAAAAATAGAGGGCTCAAACTATTGTTACGTTATAAGATATATTAACGTCTCTTTTAGATAAAGAATTTGACAAAAGTAATGGTGTGCATTTTTTTTTAATAATCTTTTTTTTTTTGCGCCGTCTGTGCTTTCCAAAGAATTAGATTGTTTTTCTACTGACGAATTTTAAAACTCATTTTGTTTATTTTAATAAAAAAACCTACTTTGTTCTTCCTCCCTTGAGCGTCAGCAATCCTCTGAAAGGCAAGCTTTTATTTGCCCACAAACAAATCCCTGTGAATATACTGATTCCCGTCCTAATGGACCTGTTTAGCCTTCCAGAACTGATTTATTAATTGTCTGCCGAAACCAATTCGAACTTTTTAAAAGTAACTACTGCATATCGATCGCTTTTTCATTCAAAAGTGAATAGCTTTTTCATTTCGACAAAAAGAGCAATTTGAATTCAACAAGAAATCTATTTTTGGGGTTGAAAATTGAAAATAACTGACACAGTACATCTTGAAACATTTTCGTCATGTTACTGACAGTTTCATACTTTTTTATTGGCCACATTTTAATTTGCTTGTTGATGCCTCATCAGTTTTACTGCTGTATCCGTACGTAAAATATAAACGAACGCACTGGACTCGACGCTATCAGAATGCCCAAACTACCTTTGCCTGAAAACACGAGTCGCATTCTGTGCCTATCATTTTGTTGGTTATGTTGATTCCAGTTACAAAGACTGAAAATTAACAAATCGCGATTTTGACGTTGTATTTTAGAATTATGCTCGGCCCATCCTGTAGTGCAAGATGTGACGTCACAGAACCAGGCAAGGAGCTCAAGCATATCAGGTAAATAAGCACATGAACCTGCTGATGTTTAATTGTAAAATGTAATATATTTTTGGCACCCCTATGTTTGCCGTGTGGCGATCCGATGGTGGGTGGGGGGGGGGGGGGGGGGGCAGGTTCACACCTCATATTTTTTTAAATGAAGGGACACCTGCATTGACATTTGTTAACTGTGTGCGATAAATGGCAGGTTGTATCAAACTCTCAAAAAAAAAACATTCAAACGATCTTTACAAATAATTATGAAGCTATTCCATGTCTTTACGCAGTCTTGATTTTCTTAATTTGATGGTCAAAAAAAGGAATGGAACAAGGAATATATACCCGATTGCATTAAATCACATAAAATCTAATTACAAACAAAACAAGGCAATCCGGATTTAGATCATTTGGCCGGATTTAGACAATTTTATGCGTTACGATGTAATCCTTGTGCAATTTTTTTGGCAAAGGTGAGACTTAAGCAGTCTAATTCACGAGTGACAGTCGGTCGGTCGGTCGGTCAGTCGGTCGGTCGGTCGGTCGGTCGGTCAGTCGGGAGGTCAGTCGGTTGGTCGGTCGGTCGGTCGGTCGGTTGGTCGGTCGGTCAGTCAGTCAGTCTGGTGCAAAGAGGACTATAGGCTGGCCCCTCAGGGACCAGCACAAACTCAACCGAGTGTGTATTTGACTGCAATCCGGGACCCCTTGTCCCTCTTTTGTTTGTACTACAATGTATAATTCCTCCCATAATGTTTTGTACACGAATCCAAATTGGGGACCGGGGACCCTTTTGTCCTCCATATTGTTCAACGACCCCTATTGAATGCAGAAACAAACTTACACACATCTATTACTAAAACACTTTTTCGTCTGCAGAGGAATTGATGGGGGATGATTTTTTTTAGCCGGGGTTATTTGGATGAAATACATACCTTCGAAAAATCCTTCATTCCTTCATTACCGAAGGTAATCATCACCGCTGCTCGTTTGACATTCTCTTACATCTCATGACACTCTGAGAGCCAATTTAATGGAATGTTTGAATGCAATCCTTGAAAATGCACCTTTGTGTCCCGTTTAACTTTATTTTCAACGTTCATAGTTTCTTGCTATTTGCAAAGTTTTTTTATGCTATGTGCATTTCCATTATGCGCAAAAATGTGATGCCATTCAAGGCAAAAACTTCGATGTTAAAACTGCTTCAACAAGAAAAGTTGCCAGAATTTACTGTTTCTTTTGGCAATAGTCAATATTTTAAATATCAATTCAATCAGCAAATGTGTGGGTTTGTAAATTGAACGAAAACCCCTCACTGCGCTTTACACACGTTTTAAACTAAAACATTTTTTTCTTCATGGTTTTTGTGCATTTTAGAGAAAGTTGCTCAAGACAAATGTTTCAGTGTAAAAGTCTTGACATAGTCCTAAAAACCGCCCAAACAATTTTCTTTGTCAGGCCAAATAGGAATGCAAGAAACGACACCTTGTATCCGATGTATTTTGTGTCATTTCAGGCCTTTCGTGTACGAGTTCTCCACTGGGGATGGCCAGTGGGGCCATCCCTGATTCCAGCCTGACGGCGTCAGGCTCATACGACTCATCTTATCTCCCAAGCAAGGCCCGACTGAATAGTAAGTCTCATTGATTGCTGCTCTCATTGCAGTAGTCTGCAACTGTTGCTTACTTTGTGTTTTTGCCCTTTTTTGGAGTTAAGACATAGGAATTAAATAAGCCCGACTCTAAAAACAACCAGAAACTTGTAAAAAAAAAATTAACGATGCATTTTAAATGTTTTAATCATGGATTCATTCTTGGTCAATATGACCAGCCCCTTTCTTTCTCAAGGCTTAGGCTCATTTGCTTTTTATCCATTTTTCGTTTCCAATAATAACACCTCTCAAATTTTAAAGATGAATGTTTAAACGTTAAACCTAAGCAGTTGAAACTTCAGCTAATTTTTTTTCGCAAAAACCTTGAAAAACCATGCACTACCTTGTGACCACGAAGCACGATTTCGCCCATGGTACTCTGTATTTAAAAAAAAAGGCAATTGACTGATCGTTGGAAATCACCACCATTTCTTGATTTCTTCGCAATGGCAGCAAGCCAGACGAAATAACATCACGGGGTGGTTAGTACCCTACGATCTTTAATCCAAAACAAATTAATAATAATTCGGTTGGTTACTTCTGAGATACATGCAAATGATCCTACCTGTCTTTAACCCAAAAATATCGTTTTGTCTAAGTTTCTAAATATAAAAAGAGGTCAACCAACAACAAAAAAGCCTCCCTGGATTCCGGATAATCTCCGCAAGTCAGCTTACATTTTTTCAATATTTTATTTGAACTATTGCTTGAACACTGTACTCCTGGAAAGCTTGAATAATCTGAAACTGTTCTTGAAATTGAGAGAAAGATGCATGGAAGTCATTCTGTGTGAGCACACCACGCCGCATGTATATGACAATTTCCTGTTACATGAAAGCAGCAAAACCCATGCTACAGTCAGACCACCTATACCCTGTATTCAAGTGCTTATGTCAATCCCAGCGATTTATCGCACACTTGTTTTGGCCAGGAATGGGCGATAAGGCTATCCCAAGGTAGTCAATGCATTCACCATGAACTTGACCAAATAAAAACCGATTCTATGCATCACTCTGTCCGTGTTACGATTTATTTGTCATTGCATTAACTTGTTTTGTAACATTAGCGTTCTCATGCCCTAGCTGGGTACAAAACAAAAATCGTCACTGGTTTACTGTCATTACAACAAAAGCAACATCACTAACTCAAGTCTGTAGCGCGAATTCCTGTCACTGATCCTTAAGGCTCCGCAACAACGAAAAAGTTACGAAAATTGTGATTACAAACGACCTTCAAATGACAATAATACAAATGTGGTATTTGAAGTTGCGTCAGTACACAGGTCATGCCTGTTGCAAGTCATTTCTGTTTGGGATGAGTAATCTTTGTTTATTCTGTGGGCTCTCAATTGTGAATTAATACATGTTAAGTAATGACAAACCCTTGATTTCACCAACATTTGTATTTAGAATAAACTTAAATTTCACATCGTGTCGTCAACTTCTTGGTTGTCTTCTTGGCAGCCGCATTGTTCATGCCCATACAACAATTTGACTGTTCGTATTGATCAACTCATTCCACATAGTCCTCCGTCCCTGATGATGCATTCGCAGGCCCGTCTATGCATTATGTGCCACTGCGCGCCTAATAAGTTTGGCGTGTCTCTGCTTCGATGCGCATTCGCATTTTGGCGAAGACTATACAGGAAACGCTTTATGATTGTGCCCATCACAGATATTGACAAGTTCCTCCAATCAGACAATGAAAATTTGCTGCAAGGACAGGAACGACCGGATTATTTATCATATCGAAGTAAATGTTAGTTTGTATGTTTTCCTCAATGAAAAAAGGGCCAATCATGAGAACATTACCTCAAATTCCTAAACAAACAGTGAGTTAAGTGCGACTGTCGTTCCTTTCAAAATTAAACGGTTGTGTATTTCGTCGGTTGTGGAGCATATTGTCTGAAGCCCCTGTCACACTTGTCCGAATCGTCACTCCGTTCATATTCCGAGTAAAACATTGTGGATTCGGTGTTTAATCGGTTTGAACTTAACTCAAACGGATTTCCCTCGGTTTTCCTCGGTTTTCCAACGCTATATACTCGTGTACGTTCGGTGATGCACTGAGGAACTCGGAGAAATTATTGAACCTGTTTAATAATTTCTCCGAATTGTCGCGGCAACCTCAATACGGACGGTATCCGGTATACACACGGAATATGCACGGAATGCACGGAATACGCACTGTACTCATTCGTTGCCATTCGTTGCAATGCGGAATAGGTACGGAAGAGTACGGAACAGGCCTCCGATTCCGATCGATAAACGTATGTATTCAGAGTTCATTCCGAACCCACACCATTGTAATGCCGATCAAAATACGGACACACCGAATATAAACGGAATGTTCGGAAAGCGGTCGGTCTTGAGATCAATCAGTTTGGCATGTCCGGTGATGATCGGAGAGGTTCTGAATATAGACGGATTGCAATCGGAATAGCAACTTATTAGATCCGGAATAAGACCGGATTATGATCGGTGTATTTTCATTTCTGGCTGTTTTTTGACATTTCTCTCCGAACGTGTCCGAATTAATAATATTTCAGATCGGTTTATGAACGGAATTATAGATTCGGACAAGTGTGACAGGAGCTTTACGTTCTGGGTATTAACCTCGTCATTCATGGAAAATCCTGCCTCATCGCTATTTATGTAGCGTTCATGATTCGTGTTGGTCTTGCGAGCATCCACTGGCAAATCCTCAGTAACATGTAAAAATTGACGCTTGGGGTCCCTCAGGATAAACAGAGAGTTACTCAGTCATCCTGAGCAGGAATGACATAAAATCCAAGCCTGTGTATTGGCGCAACTTACAATACAAAATGTGTATTATTGTCATAATCACTGTAACAGTTGTAGTTTCCTTACTGAAACCCTCTAGTATTTGGTTCTATATTATTTTGAATGCCATGGTCTTTTGTTTTATTCCCCACAGGTACTGGTTGGTGGATATGCCCGAATGAAAAACCCGAGGGTCAATGGATCCAGGTAGACCTCGGTCAGTACACAGCCATCACGGGGGTCATCGTAGAGGGACATTCAACCCATCATATCCTAACATTTGCTGTAAACTCCAGTAATACGGGCGAGTCCAATGATTGGCAGAAACTAACTGACAGAGGACAGACCGTACAGGTGAGCCTAGGATCCCGTTAAGATTGATTCTGTAGTTTTTACATTCCATACGGACAGTCGATTACAGAAAGCCAATCCTATACGGAAGCCTATCGTTCCAGGTTTAAACAAGTGAATTTTGTCATAAGTTGTGAAATAAACGCATTACATATTGGCGAAATTATTAAATTTTAATTAACTCAAGACGATTGTGAAATAGCCTTTTGCGAAATAAAGAAAAAAACCTATTATAGTTAGTTTGCAAAACTATTGTGCTCATTTGTAAAAGTTGTATTGATTTAGATTCATCGCTAAACTGTTGGATTGTTAGGCCTTTTCCCCGCAAACCATTACGTTGAATCGCAAATATTGCGTTTATTCGTAGAAGTTATTTGCGCTAATAGTAATATGCTATGTAGTCAAGCACTGTTTGGCAAACAATTAATTGCGTTAATTTGAAATGGTATTGCGTGAGCCCGTATTTAACAAGCTCAATCGGATCTCGGAAGCTCAGTGCGGCCGGCCAACGATCGAAGGCGTGTTCACCTTACTTTGACCTTTGACCCATTATCTGTAGGTCAGACGATCGACAACATGGACACTTTTTAATGTTTGACCAAGGCCAACATGTTGACAGAGTTACTTTTGTCATTTGAGCATATTTGCCATTTGACGTTATTTTGACCGTGACCCCATGATGACCTTTGACCCTAGTTTGGGCATGTGACATGTTGGGGCGTGGCTACTGATACTTTTGACAAAGTTTAATGGTCGAAATCGGTCAGGGCAATATGCATGTCAACGTTAATTACACTATAACTAACTAACAGCGGACGGATTAATGGAGCGACATGATGATTTGTTAAGCTGCTAACCCCAGCTAAAAGCAAATCACTATTTCAGGCAAACCTGAATCGATTTGGCTTCCTTATAATGGATTGATGTCAAATAACATGTTGGGTTTTTTTTTATTAAAAACAAACCTTATTTCCTTTGACTCCAGCTTGGGTCGCAGTATTCGTTTTAGTCTCAAGCACCGACGACGATTTCATGTCGCCATTGAGGGGGGAAAGCAGAATAGAAAAATTCGTAAGGGGGGTGTTTTAAGCCACCTGACTCTAGGGGGGGGGGGGGGGGCTATACAAACTGTATGTACGCATTCGTGTTGCGCGCCAATTCCTCCCAGTGTGTGCATTTACATAAAATGGATGTTGGAAGACCAATATCTTATAGCGCTATATCACGTACAGAATAATATTATAAAGATATGTAACTGCATGGTAAAACAATCTATACACACTGAGACAAATTATTGGGGGGGGGGGGGCATCGCCATCAGCGTTTACCATCAAAAAGAGTAACGATTGTTAATTTGTCAAAAGCCACTCTGAATTGGATCCTCGTTCACCCGAGGTATATACATGCACGCAATGGACGTTCATGTTAAAAGGTAAATAGCACCGCCAAAGTTGTTTAGTATCTCCCTATATCGGCGCAGCTAGCTCTTCCAATAGCAAAGACGTCTGACGTATAACACATATTTGAACTACCGGATGTTGTGTTGGTGATCATATAGTAAATCGTTATATTTTTCAGTTGAATGGGCACAATGGTAATAGCCAACCTGTGAATGTGACGTTCCCCGTGGTACTGATGGCAAGATTCCTCCGCATACTTCCACTCACATGGAGTTACTCTACTTATTATTACCTGAGGTTCGAAGTGCTCGGATGTCGAGGTAATACAAATGTGTCCATCTAAACAATATAAGTCGCCATAGAAAGGCAATGATACCGCTAGTCATTTGGTGTAAAGGTTATTAATTGTAAAAAATAAAATTGTTAGTTGTTGAGGTCTAGCCTTATTTCAACACTGTAAGAATTAATTGCGGGCACTGACTTGAGTTTCATGTTTGGATGAACCGTGATAAGAACCCGGAGGAAGTTGTATTAATACAAGTCATTATCTATAATTATGTTGAACTCATACTGATGTAACAGTGATTCCGATGCAGGCCGAATGATCATGCTAGTATCTGACTGTTTTAAATTTATTTTAGGTCTAAACTACAAAAAGGGCGGTGTATATTAAACACCGGTGGTCCTTCAAAGATACCACCGGTGTTAAATCAAACACCGTTGTTTTTACAGAGTCGGTTGCTTTTACTCTCATAAAACCTGTGTCAGTATCCAGGTCATGGAAGTTGGAGGGTCGGGAGTTGGGATGATGGTATCGTCGGCTGATATCACTTGCTGGGTGTGTTCATTCGTTTCTTTTCTGATTGATGACACGTGTTGGTCCAGCTCTGTTGCATTCTGACAATGCCCAGTACAAATCATATGAAACGATGGGTTTGGATCACAAATTGGATAATGACCTTCATACTGCGAATTGAGTGGGAGATCTGAGTTGAGTTCCCTGGATGTAAACATGAAGGAATTATCATTGTCACACAACAGGGATTGTCAGACAACATTCATCATTGGAAGGGGGAATACATCTGGTTAGGCGATTTGAGCCATGGAATGGCACATCGAGTAAGGGAAAACAAAGTTAAACGAATGATATGTATTTACACAAGCATTTTTGCGCGTTTTTGTGTTCAAATTATGGATACGATTATAGAGGCTGTCGTTCACAAACATTCTGTCAAGAAGTGAGCCTAATGAAAGAGTGTGAAACTTACAAGACTTATTGTTATCGAGAGTTAGACCTACGTTTTATTGTTGTTCAAATCGGAACACACGTGTCATTCGCGAACTAATTCTGAAAGAAACTAATTCTCGATCTCAACAGTTACTAGCGGCATGATTCGATTGGTGGGCGGTGAGGACAAATGGAGCGGTCAAGTGGAAATCTACCGCCATGATGCTTGGGGTGCAGTCTGCGATAGCAGTTGGGATATGAAGGACGCCACCACCGTGTGTCATCAGCTCGGCTTCATCGAGGCTCTGGAGGCTAAAACGGGGTTGTCCAGCCGAGAGAGTGACAGGCCGATCGTGATGAATCGAGTCGCCTGTACTGGAACTGAACGACGGCTGGCTGACTGTCCGTTTGTCTGTACCGGCTCTCAGCAATGCAGCAGCTCAACTGTAGCAGGAGTCGTTTGTAAACCACGACCTGGTAAGAAATACTCCGCCCTCTTTAGTTTCCATGACATGTCATTCACATCCGACTTTGTGTCTTAAACCTCAGCTTATTACACAAGTGAATTTTGTGTTATCAAATCATCTCCAGGTATTTATGATATTTCAGCGTTCTCTGATGATAAAAGTCACATAAGGAGGTACTCAACCCTGAAACACATTCTTCAAACAAAAGCACTTCCCTAATGAGTATAGGAAAAATATACTGATGAACTCAATGAAAAATCTGAAACAATTATTGTTATCTCTTACACCCACTAAATAGGCATTCAAAAATAGGAATTCAAAAACTTACTTGTGCCTCCCAATACTGATTATTTGGACCATTATTCTTTTAAGGTTGATTTCCCCTTGCTCTTCAACATATTAATTTTTTTCCTATTTATAAATTTACAACTTGTATGTTTTCTTCCAACCTAAAATTTTCAATTTTGGACGTCTGCAACCCTCTGAAGAAGAAAAAAATTGGGCACAACAGACCCACTTTGCGAGTAGACTGGCTCCCGGTCCGTACATTATCGATACTAATAAGCCTCTGTGCTACTAATGACGTCACACTTTGTTTACATGTGCACTTTCCTATGGAGGCAGTGGGGGCCCACGGTCCACTAAGCAACATAGGATATCATGTAAACAAAGTATGACGTCATTAGTACAGAGGCTTATTGTGGGGCGGGGACCAGCCTACCCGCGAGAATAGAATTATTGTCTGGAAGCAAATAATTCGGAACTGTTAAGTAATAATTATTCAACAACTAAACGGGCTGATTTTTCGCTCAATGTCCCATTCAAAAGTGAATAACTTTCGTATTGCTATAGAAAAAAATAGCAATAACTTAGAAAATGAATCTATTTTTTTGGATAAAACTTGTTAATAGCACGGGGAACGATTCTTGAATATAGGCCAACTTGATGTCCTCAGTAGGCCTATGGGTTCTTTGGGACACTGTCACTGACAGACAGGTAATTTGATTCTGATCGCTACGTGACATATTTTTATCAGCCTGTATTTCCAGCTGAAGAGGGGATTGGGAGGTCTACTAACCATGAGGGCGGGCTACCTATCCGCCCTTTTTTCATTACACCACTCCACAGTGTAGGCGTCAGACTGTAACTCGTCTTGTTTTCTAAATTGAGATGATGTCTTTATTGTGAAATGATCAGATGAGCTTCAGTTGGTCGGCGGATCTCGCACCAGCGGCCGAGTGGAGATATACCGTGGCGGCAGCTGGGGCACCATCTGTGATTCCAATTGGAACGAGACGGATGCGGGGATTGTCTGCCGACAGCTCGGTTTCTCAGACGCACTGGAAGCTAAGTCCGCTGCCCACTTCGGGCAGGGTAGCGGACCCGTCCATATGGACGGCGTAGCGTGCGAAGGATCCGAAGAGAAAATTACCGACTGCCCTTCCTACTGCTGGGAAGAGACAAGTTGTAGCCACTCACACGATGCTGGAGTGATCTGTAGTGACGGTAAGCATATAATGAGGGCAGTGCAGCGAATCCTATACCACATCGTCAAGGATTCAAATCGTCATAGAAATACTCCGCGTATTCCTATCATTAGAAAGATGGATTTGTTCTAGCGTCATGCAACAACGAGTGCTCCATTCAATTAGATAGTAACGATTTTTATTGTGCAACCGTATATCTTGATTTAAATGATAAAAAGCTCAGAAATAGTGCAATGTGTTGAAACTAATAGTTGCCTAGCAATAATCAGTTGATACCTTGATCAATATTTGCAAGGGTTTCTCCCATGAAAGTATGTCCCGATTCTTAATTTCGAATATGTCTGCGAATCTGATAATCGTTCAGAGAGAATATTTTATTGACTTCTGTGTAAAGACGGTCTTATGATTGTATAGAGCCAGGTTCCTGATTAGATTTTATGTAGAACACATTTTTTTTTAAATGAAAACTGTTTTGTTTTCAGTTTTCTTCAACAACCTAAGTTGCAAACTTTTTGTTCTTCGCTTTTGTATTACTGCAGGAAACACCGTAACAACCAACAAGTGACGAAAGCTAAACCGCTCAAGCAACCAAGAAGGATAGGACACCAACCATATTCTCATACACACTCATCTCCTTTTTTAAAAGGGACAATATTTGTTCCATTGGATTTCAGACCATCAAAGCGCCCCTCGTGAACTGCTGGTCGACTTCTTCTATAGTCACGTGACTGGCCTGGGCATATAACCCGTGCATGCTGTAAAAAAAATATATGGAGAGTGGTAACTCGCTTCTCTTGGCATTGTACAGTATATTAGCGACTGCGCAATCTATGACACCAGTCTTTGTTAGTGCATACTGGCTAGATGTAGTTTTGAATCAGAGGCAGAAGCTTTCTTGTTGTCAATGTATGTTTGTGTGCAGCATATACAATACGCATAATAAGCATGCAACAATCATAGTGGCTTTGTTTGTTCGAAAAAAATATATATACAAAATGATAATAAGAAAACACCAAAAGACTAAACACAAAAAAAACAAAAAACGGAACAGGAGTGGAATCGATAATCAATTATATTATTGAACTTGTATCCATTTTGGACATTTTCAAAGTCAGCTACTCATAGTATAATGAGTCCATTGATATAAATACGTTCAAATGAAATTGGGGAACGAAAAGTTAAAGCACAGTGGATAAGCAGTGAGGGTGAAAATTGTGGACTTTCTTATACTCTGATACACCGATCAACTTTATTTGTTATTTCAGGAAAAGCTACGATGTTGCGTACGGGGTAGAATACGTGACGGTGAAGAAACTTTGTCAAATACTATGGTTGATAAACTTAATAATTGTTGTGTTATTGTGCCATGTATAACATTTGCCATAATCGTATGTTAGAATAAATCAGTCTTTTTAACTAGGAGTAATATTTTTTAGATTTTCAATTACTTTATAACTGCACTTGTTATAGACCTAGTACTTGATTATCATAATTCCAAAATAAAAAGAAAATTAATTAACTGGACACACTTAAGAGGCCTCCTTGCCTTGTCATAGTCGGACCCCCAGGTGGATTCTTATAATTGTTGGTTTTTTTTACGATTCATTACGTTCAAATGCTTGTCTTGTTTTATAATAGTGATTATTTACTTCCTTTTAATGCAATAAACGTACGTGAATACAGTATACAAATTGTGACTTTGGGGTCTCTATGAACTATTGAACTATTTGGGTCAGTGAGTGGGTCAGTAAGTGTGTTAGGTACAAAGAAGACCGTAGTCTGGCCCTCTGGGACCAGCAGAGTAATTTTTTGGGACCAAGGTGAGACTTATGCAAGTCTATTTCACAAGTGAGAGACAGTGAGTCAAGCACAAAGAAGATTGTAGGTTGACCCTCTGGGACTACAAAACGGACCAAAATTAATTGATTACCTTTTTTTTTTAAATCGGTTGCAATCCCAACCATGACCATCGCACAGAATTGCTTTTGATACCATATTCATTGACCCCTGATAAACGTTACATGAAAAGTCACCCAATGTCATGCCGATGGGGGGGGGGGACCCCAGCTCTGACTCACATTTTATGTTTTGCATAGAAATATATTATTAATAATGTACCCTCCCCCCCCCTACTCTGT